CTCCACCTCTACTGCTGTGGCCCGTCCTGCTCCACCCAGAGGCTACTCCACCTCTACTGCTGTGGCCCGTCCTGCTCCACCCAGAGGCTACTCCATCTCTGCTGCTGTGACCCGTCTTGCTCCAACCAGAGGCTACTCCATCTCTGCTGCTGTGGCCCGTCTTGCTCCAACCAGAGGCTACTCCATCTCTGCTGCGACCCGTCCTGCTCCACCCAGAAGCTACTCCATCTCTGCTGCTGTGACCCATCCTGCTCCATCCAGAAGCTACTCCACCTCTGCTGCTCTGACCCGTCCTACTCCACCCAGAGGCTACTCCATCTATGCTGTGACCTGAAGGGCTATTGCGGATTATTACTATTGTTAGCTTTTAGAATGATCAATTTCATTGTATTTTTTTTCTGCTACTGGACACCTGAATTTCTCCTACGGGGATCAATAAAGTATCTATCTATCTATCTAGCATATGAGCCTCAATGGTTTGTTAGTAGTTCTCCTCATTTGATTTTGGGTTGATGTAATTCCTAGTTTATTCCTGATACAGAATCTTGGTTTAGTCATAATGTTGATCTCTTGCATGGACAAAAGCCTTTCATATGCACACATGGTTTAAGCCCAATGTAGGCCGTGTTCTACTCCTTTAGTTTGGTTTTAATGTGGTCATTGTGCAAGTGTGAATCTGCAAAAAAAAAGAACCCAACCTTACCATGGGGTGTAGATTATGATGTTAGAATTATGACTAGACTGTGCCAAAATTCTGTCAATGTACATACGCAAAAGGCGCGAGTATAGAGCCAAACACTGACGGTGACATCCCACTATGGGATCCAGCACACAATATGTCTTATATGTTGTGTCCTTTGAAAAGAAAAGAAAAAAAAAAAGCTTGCGATTGTGGGCGAAGCTGACAGAACCATGATGAGCACCTACCCACACAGAAATACAGTGTTTATACATATCCTCTGCAGGCTTCACACAAATGCTGAGTAAACTATTCAGCCGAGGGAAGCGTCTCATTAAATAAGGCACAATGACGCATATTGATTTCTCCCTATAGACTTGAAGACACCTATTGTTCAGCGATCTTTGCCATTAGATTTGTGCTGTCACTGCTGACAAACATCAATATATAGCATACGGTGCGTTTCCAAAAGGTTAATTACATACTTATAAGCTATTATTCTTTTAACAGGGACTATTGTCTTTCTATCCGACTATCTTGCAGAGCAGCAATGATGGTGATTGGTGATCATGATGTTGGTCATGTTTAATTAACAGACCAATCCATATCCAATGAGGTGACTTATGGTGTGAGATGGAAACATATATTTGCGTATAGTCAAACAGTACTGCCATACTATTACTTTATATAAATATTATTCATTTGGAAGATTACTACTTTTGAACTATGAACCAAGCCTTTGGACTATTAAGGGTACCAAAAGATATGCCTCTTTTTATTTTTTTATTTTCCTAAGCAAAGTCAAATTTACATAAATGTTGCAAGATAACATAATACATTAAAAATCACAGTTGATTGAAGTGCTGAACACACTGTATAGCCAAACATATCATAATAAAACAACAATGCATCCACTTGCAACTGATGAAGAAAACATTTTACATTACAGATCCCAAATTTAAAATATATCATATGGTCCATTCCCCTCCAATATGTAAGTCAATATGTGAGTTAGAACAAAACAAAATACTGGATCACATTAATCTGTTCATCTTGTTGCAGCCAAAACATCTAACCAGATGTTTGGTAGCAAGAACAGAGGAAGTACTGAAGAGAGAAAGTAAGTAGCAACAAACAGATGATCCATTGAGGTTGGGTCGACAGACACATCATTGAGTGTGACATGATGATTCATGTCAGCGGCCGCAGCCTTCATTCGGACCTACCCAGTCAAACACTCATCATTCACACCCACATGACGCCCTAACTTCCTCTAGAACAGACCAGCCCAGAAAACAGGTGATCAACACCCAAACTCAAACACAAGTACCTGTGTTCAACACAGCTACTTTTGTTGCATTAATCAGTTGACAATGTCTTAGTAAACCAAATTAATATTAATAGACTAATTATTCTTTACACAATTTCTATCGTAAAACTGCAAAATACATATTGATTTATTAGTGCACATAATGGACATTTAGCTAAAAGTCCCAGTCTTAGCTACAAATCTAGGCAGGCATAGAGCCACTTTTCTCAAGATTCTGCTATCTACGTTGATTTACAAGTCAGGTCAAACTCTCAATTTAATGGGGTCATTTTAATTGTTCTTTTTATTTTTAATTCCTAGATATTTGAGCAGATTTATGCCTAAATCTGGCCCTAGTGGTATACTTTACATTTTGGCAGTGGTATGAACAAAAACAGCCAAAGTGGGCTGTATTCCACTATATGACAGTGTGCTATATGTGGAGGCTGAGACAAAGGAGTTTTCTGCATTTTGGCATCATTTTTAGATACAACTATATTAACCATGCCAATTAAACCAATTAAACATGCAACACAGACTTCTAGAATGCATGTTTTTCATGGTTATAGTTTGTTATACATGATAACTTTATTGTAGGACAATAAACTGTGGAACAGTATGTTGTGTGACAAATCAATAACATCTCAAATGAGTCAAAAGTGTGACAATAAGTGGAAGTATTGGTTTGAAATTAGTTTTCTCTTTCTTCAGTTTAGTTTAAGCTTTTATTCTAGTCTATTTAGGTTTCCAACACATGCTCCCTTAACAGAATTTAAAGTTTAGTTGCTGATTGTCCTGTTAAAACCTGATTTGGAAAAGAAGCCGGCTCCTACTCTTCTCACAGGTTTTCCATTCACACAGCCACTTACGAGGACTTCAATTACTTCATAACACAAATCCACTACAGAATATCAGTTGTCCTTGTCACTACAATGCTTGAAAACGTAATGAATATCTTTAGTGCCAAGGTCGGAGTAAGTTTATCCATTAGCGAGCCATAATATTGACAAGGCATGGCTCTCCGGGTCCAAACCAGAACATTATGTTGTGTAGACGTAACGCTGGCCGACAGACACGGGGTAGTATGTCAATGTGAGGTGCTTACAGGCCGATAAAGGCTGCTGTTCCAATTCCTACAGGCAGGCAGTGATGGACAGTGTGCAGGGAGACAGAGGGAGAGCGTGAGGCAAGACAGAATCGAGAGTTGGAGAGTCGTGCCAAAGCTAATACAATTTTAAACAGTAAGGTATGAATGGGGAAGCTGCACATCTTTCCCGAAACGCGCAGGCCAAAGGGAACTTGCATCTAACAAAGGACAAAACACAAAGGGGCATAATTTAGAAGTCCAATATGTGAAAAATAATAAAGCCATAAATAAGAATATGTAGCTCAAAACTTAACACATAGAGCTTTTACAGTATGCAATATCTGATGACATTTAGCTTGAAAGCCAATTGAAAGTGTCTCCTGCCGGATTTAGTATATATTGCTGAGCCAATGGTTTTAACTGTGCTTTTGATATCCTTTTTGTAATGGAAAAGAGCAATAATTAAAAAATATATAATAAATTGGATGGATTAGACAGCCCCTTAAATTCTTTGAGGCAGACTGTGTAACTTGTTAGAAACTCTGTGAAATCCTGGTAGTCTTCAAAACCAGTTTCAATCTGGTGAAAAAAAGGCTGCAATGCCTTTAAAATGTATTTGGAAGGCAGATACTATAATACTATGAAGCATAGATGTTTTCAGTGCAGAGTGCAGGTGTAGTGGATCTGTAGGGGTGGGGGGGTTCATAGTACCAAGTCTGTCTGCACTACAGTACATGAGGGGTCTGCATTTCGTATAGGCTGGAGCAGCTGCTTTCTGCACGAGGCACAAGCATCGGAGTCAGGCAACTGAGCCTACAGAGAAAACTGGTCAGTGGAGAAGACTATGTTATATTAACTACTAAAGCCCTTCAGGAGTCCAGAACTGCAGCCCGTAAAACAACATACATCTCTTTTCTTTATACATCTGTTTTCACCAGATCCTCAGCACTACAACATGCCACCAAATGCATTTCCGAGCAAACAAAGATTAAATGCAAAGCAAGACTGGGTCTAATGTATTCCTAAAGGAAATTCAAGTATTTTATGGTAAAAAACTGTAAAAACAAAAAAAATTGTTTGTTTGATGCTTTGTTTTATGTAAGATCATTACAATATAATAACTACATGCTTTGTAGCTATACAAGTGGCCAAAGACAAGTGAACGCGCCGTATGTGTAGACCTAAGGTATTAAGGATGGAGAATGGTCCCGTCTCCTATAGAGACGCTACAGCCACATAGGGATAGACCCGTAACAGTGAAAGTACCTAGGTGAAAAACCACGCTGTGGATCCAACTCCACACGCAGGCTGTGACTTTAAAATACTGGAGAGAGGAGCTGGCAAGTTAGAAGGCTGGGATGTAAAATGTGTCTGACAGCTCCGTTTGAGAGAGAGGCAATCCCATGTGGATCCAGATCCGTGTCAAACACGCGCCAATGCAAAACTTTAAGACTTTAAGGCTCTATCATTTAATACAAACGCTGGCACCTCCCGAGAAACACTCAGTCGGTTTAATCCCAGGCTGAAATGTCTTCAACGATTTAATCCTGACGGTACAGCATAGTACAAGGCGAGTCCTGAGCATCCCGGTAGTTTTAACCTTCACTGAGCATGTGCTCGTTAGACGGTAGAAAAATAAGAAGGGGTTTGGTATTCTTTTAGCAATAAACATTAGCCATGCAGTACGGGTCCAAAATGCTTGAATGTTCCACATTTCCTCCCGGGGACAGTGTGATCCAAACAGTCTGGTTCGCCCGAGTGCGCAGAGCGAGTATGGCGCAGCAGGAGCAGGTGCAGCACACCTCCTGTCACCTGGATGGTGCAGTGGCAAACTCCGGGTAGTACTTGGCCAACCCGCCCCTGTGCACCCTGCCACGGCTTTCAAACAGTCCACTGACCCCCTGAGAGCTTCTCGTGGTCCTTACCTGTAATGTGTGCAGATAGATCCACTTCACAGCCGCAGCCGCATTGACACTGCGCAAAGAACCCAACTCCACACGTCCCCCCAAAACACGCGAACTCAAAATGGTCACGGTAAATCCGAATACAACGCCGAGTCCAATTTAAATCCTCGGTCCAAAATGAGCAAGAAGAAGGCGGATCCTGTACGGGACTCCTCGCAGCATCCCCCGCTCAGCAGGTCCTTTGCACGCCACTTTAAGTACCACGAGAGCCCGTAGTTGTGGCTGCCATTCCCCGGTGAGAGAGGTGGAGGCGCTCGGTAAGTCACTGGTCCGTGCACGGGACAGGCTCTGTACTGCAGGAGGAGGCTGTGCTGGAGACTGGGCTTGAGACTGTGTGTGCACGATGTGACTCAGTGCAGTGCTCCTGCTCAACTGAGGTGTAGAGCGCGCTGCAGCAGAGTGCGAGCGGCAGGGGGCGGGGGAGGCGAGGGAGGGAGGGGAGGCGGGCGAGAGACAAGCGCAGCCCGGAGTTTGGAGCCTTCCACGGGACTCGGGATGGCGCTGAGCCCATTGAAAATGGCCACAAGAGGAGCACGGGTCCGTACGTTGGCCGCAGTGGGCGCGCACCGGAGGCGATTGGCTGCTGCTTGGGCTCGGTTTGGGTGGGTCAAGTCCTTGGCAACTATCCTAAAGAGACTTATTCAGCATTACTGTGGGCTGGCGCGCTAAAATGCCCAGTTTAAGCCTTTTACAAATGTCTTTATGTTTCTGTAATATGCAGTGCTGGGATGACTATGAGTATATGAACATGCTATTGGCTATTTAGTGAAAACCTTATTAAAGTATCACATTCAATTCAACTGAGTTCTGGTTAGCACAACAACAGTGACATCACATAATTGTTGATTTCCCTGCAGCAGATTAGAAAATCAAAAAGATGTAACTGTGTTTTTCCACCCTTAAAACCGTTCTTTGGTGCACAATGTTAAACTACTTTTTGTGATTGAAAATTTAGGGCTCATTCTGGCAGTATTTAATTATTCGTCAATCTCCAAAACACCAACACGATAGGTTTGAAAGTCAAAGGGTGTCTGCACAATAGGATAGTGAAAGCATCAGATCATGGTTTGAATCTAATCTGGGGATCATTTTAAAGATAGAGATTAAGCAACATCGCAGCGTAATTAGGACACATGCATAGTTATAGGGGATTAGGAATCTGCATTTTTGTCCTTTGATGATCTTTTAACACAATTCTCAAGTGTATCCCCCTCCCACTTTATGCAATTAATATGCCTAAAATCTCATTATGTAACCATGCTACTAATGAATAAGAGTTAATAAGGCCAGATATGTTATATTAATGTTCTCTGTTTACCTAAAGGACATAAAAGTGCTGCTATTATCTCGAATGTCCCATCTGCTATCTGTGTATAAGCCTGCCTGATAAGACATGTTCTCATCAGTATTTACATTCTATTGCATTTGTATTGTTCATCCTAAAATTATGAAATACAATCAGAATTCTTGAATGAAAATGTCACTGATATCACACATACTCGCTTTCATCTTTATGTGTTGCTATAATATATAACCAACATAGTTGACATGGGTTTTTTTTTTTTTTTTTTTTTTTACGTTGCCTTAAAAATATAGAAATCTAATATATAAACTATATAATTTGTTGCCATTACTAGTTACTTAATCATCATAGACATGCAAGTTGTCTGTTTATTTACCAAATTGTGTGTTTGACTTTTTGGTCATTATCCTTTTCTTTCGTCCTTTCGACCAGGACACACTGAAGGAACTCTGTCTCTCAACTGACCCGGAAACAGCTCAGGATTATTCCAAATGAGCTGGAGGTATAGAGTCTGTAACTACTTCATAAAATTATGAGATTTTTAGAATCAAAATGAAATCATTTGACTTCTTTTGGGCAGCAGAATAAAGTTGCTGGTACTTCCAGTGGCATCTTAAAGTGTTGAAACAAGTGAAAATACAAGAACATTATAGATGTAACGTGAATATTTTATTTTATATTTGTATCTTTCTTTTTAATGTACTATGATTATTTATGATCTTAATGCTATCTAATTTTGTTCAACTTTGAGTTACCTTGTGTGTGAATTGTGCTATACAAATAAACTTGCCTTGCCTTGAATAGACTCTTTGTAATTAGATACATATAATCATAGATATGAAGAATATTTCTAAACCAAAAACATATATGGTATGTAAAATGGCAGCATGCCTGCTATGAATGTATTGTTGAAGGAATGAATAACAGCTTTTCAGTAAAAAAAAGAAAAAAAGAAAAGAAAACAAGAAGAAACTGCACTCAGTAGTTATTTCCATGTGTTATACTTTCAATGATAACCTTTTGCAAAAGCTCGGGCATTGGTGTGCAGTTCTAGCCTGGCCTTTGCCATCCGTAAACTCCGGTCAAATCTTTTTAAGTACGAGGGTATGGTAAAACCAGGCTAGTGCAGTTCAGTTGGTAGTTAATTTTCCTGAGTTCTAATCTCTGTGTGATCACTTCATAAACTGAGCGGCTAGATTTGTCCTTCTCCAAAGATTATATTCTTATGTCTTCCTGCGCATGTCTCACTATATGAAAACAAGCTACAACTTCGCCCTGATATAACCCACACATAAAGGGACACGGGAGGGCTGAGATCTTCACGCACCGGGTCTGCAGTCCTCTCTTCCCCTCTCCCTACGTCCCCTCTGCCGCTGTCATCCAGAGGGTGGACCGTGGCTTTGAAACACTGCACCACAGCACCACCTACAGGCCAGACAAAACACAGATTACATACAGCCAAATCTGGGCTCTTTGCATGCAGGCGAACAACCCTCTATGCAAGAAAAAAAGAAATAAAGACATAAAAAACGAATTAGCCAAATGTATGAAATATGTAAAAACATACGAAACTCCAATGCTAGAACTGCGTCAGAGCGTTGAAGAAAAGTGTCTATCAGCTGACAGCTATAATCTTCAAAAATATTAACCGCACAATACCTCTGAAATAAAGTGGAAATAAAAGTTTCAGCTCACAATAAAACAATATTAGTGGGAGGAGAGATTTGATTAAAACAAGCAGCTAAATTTGGACCAAACGGCTAGCTAACCATTTGCACAGGCTAGCGATGCATATGAGCTCAACCTTTTAATAATTCGTCCATTGCATTTATATATATTTGTAAATTGTAAAAAAAAAAAAAAAAAAACTTACCTACTGTCACCCATGTTTGTGCCTGGATATTAAATCTGTTATTTCCAGTTAGTAGAGTTAGCATATACAGTACATACTGAGAGATATTATTTTAGTGATGATTTACAACCGAGATTTACTTTCCATCTGTAGTTCTGGGCAGGTTTACACATAAAAACACATTACGAGCTTATGTATAAAAAAAACTAAACCGATTAACTAAATAAATACATGACATGTTTTTTTCTTAAATTATGTAAACAAATTATGTCCTAGAGTTATTATTTAAATTTAATTGACTTAATTAACAATAAAATTTGCCGTCTCAAGTTTCTGAGAAATTGTTCATTCAGATGTACAGGCAATTTCTGAGACTCTTCTGTCAGAGAGATTGGAATGGATGTTTAATTTGGTCTCTTTAATGATCTTGAGGGGAAACATTCTGTGTAGTCTCTCCTCTTGGCATAGCCACAACCAGTATGATTCTATTTAGTTCAAATCAATGTATTTTTGTACAGCCCAAAATCACAACAGCAATCGTCTCAGTGGACAAAGTAGTCAATTCACCAACGACAGGTCAGAGAATCAAACCTGTCTGATATTGGAACTACAATAATAACAACAACATAGCAGTATGACACATACATTTTAATAAGCATCCTTAAATGTCCTGAGACACCCCTCAGAGATTTGCTAAAGTATAAAAGTTTAACCAACGATGCAGATTTTAATTGATTTAGTTCAATCAGGATAATGAGCATGGGAGCGTCCAAATAGTGTTTGGTTTCAAATATGATTCTCTTCACAATTTGACGTTAAGTTGAACATATTGGACAAACATGGCATATAGAGTAGTAGACAATGCCCCAATACTCCCATAGTGGTTGAGGTGGCATATTGTTTTTTCATTTTTTGATTATTAAAAATTCCTCACATTGACCCACATTTGAATAGGACCTTTGGATGGATAAAAGTTGTATTAACACTTGTCCTTGTAGTTTGAGCCCAAATTAGACGTGATGTTGGCTTGGTTTAGCATATTTCTCATCTTGAATATGTGTGGTTTTGTTAATGACAATATATTTGATTGTGTGAATGCGACTAATGCTGAGCGTTGTTAGGATTTAGCAGACAGAGACGGATCGTGGTGTGCCAAACTCTGGAAGTTTATTTAAGTTTCTCTCAAGTTCCACTGGTTTACTCTGTTTCTTTCCCTCAGACAGAATAAAGGCAGTACACAGTTTATATAGTCATTGTCACGTCACACATGGAAAGACATACGTGTCACAAAGAGACAGTCACATCATAGTCATAACATGGAGTCCTTGTAGAGTCCTTGTAGAGTCCTGCACGTAGGCCATATTGCTATCTAATACTAATACCCTCCCCTTTGATCACATAATCACATGTGATCACTCAATTTGATCAATCAATAAAGTGGAAAAAGAAAAAAAAAAAAATCTAAAAAAAAAACTTTTAAAAATTATTAAAAACAAAGAAAATGTATGCATTAAACTCATAATCATCAAATCAATTTTATCCTCTATCCTGGGAAAAAATAAACAAATACAAATCAAAAATAAAAACAAACAAACACTATTGGACACACAAGAACTCAGCAGATTCAGTCAAAACACAGACAAAAACGAGCTGAGTCTCAAATTAGAAGCTAATTTAACTTTTATTACTCTATACTTTTATTCTAATGCTAATTGTTTACACTTCACTCAATCTTATTTCACTGTATTATTTTCACTTTTTAATCTTAGACTGTGTACTTTACTCTCTATTCACTATAGTTTAAACTATTCTAATCTATTTACAAATATGTTTGTATATTTGCTTCTATTGAGCCATATTCTTAAACATACATTTTAATCTAATAAATCTCTCTTTAGTTTACTTTCATTATCAGTGGCTTATTATCAGTGGGATTTTGTTCTATCTCTATTCTACATTCTCAGGAATAAAACTGTGAACACAGTAAGGCAAATGGTCAACATTTACACTTCTATAGTGGTCAGTGATTTATTACTTTTTATTATCTCAAGATATTATTGTCAGGCATTTGGGATGAATGTACATCTTTAATCAAATTGGAACTATCCTTACAAGAGCTAATCTATTTGAGCAGGTTTGGGGTTGGGGTCAGTTATTCTACAATGGTGTTTGTGCTGGAAACTTCTCAATATCTAAATATCTACTATTGTGTTTTTGTGCTATACAAAAATACATCAAAATGCTTTTAAATGCTTTTGAATCTCTGTTGGTTGTAATCTATCTCATTGATCTAAGCATTAATCTAGGCTACACTCATATGGACTTTTTGTATTGTCAACATTCACAGATGTTTGAACACAAGTGAATTTGGCAAGTATCTAATAAAACTGTACATAAACTGTAAGTAACTTTATCTACTTTTGGAGTAAATGCTTGTGAAATGGTCCCTTTACCATTTGATATTAGCACTGGCTAAGAATATTCTCTATTTTTGAAAGCATCTATGGTTGATGCATTTATCTATTCCTATTTTTACTCTATTTTTTAACTCCAAAGCTCGGCTGCAGTTTGAGCAAAGGCATATTCCTAATTTGTGACTTCTGTCACTTTTAATGGCTGTAACATTATTCTGATTCTAATATTATAGCTGATCTATCAAAAGGATAACATTGTAGGGTACTATTTTAACTCTAAGTTGAAATGTGTTTATGAACAACAAAGGAAGGACAATTCTACTTTTTTACTACTATTTAACATCTACTAAAACGCTACAATACTTATACTTTATCATTTTCAAAGTTTTTGTCTGTCAGATGTCTGAATACTTAACATGTATATTGCATTTGTCACAGTTTCTGGTTGTAGCAATAGCATCGGCAATAGACGTTTTCATTGGCTGGTTCTTGTTCTGCAAATGTCTGTGTCCAATAGATCATCAGATGTCCAGAAGCTAGGGACAAACAAAAACAAAAGAAAGAATCATGAGTATCTCTCTCATTTAGCACTCATCAATGTGTGATTTCAAAAATATAAACATCACTCCCCAGTTTTTTTTCTCTCAGATCCTCAGGTCCTCAGGGTCCTCTGAGGGTGAGGTTAGGTCTCAGTCGTCATCAGGTCAGGTCATATTTCGAGAGATGTCATCTTGGACATCAGTAGGGTCCAAGCCATGGTTCTGGTTTCTCCAGATGCACATCAGGATCTCCAGATACAGTCTTTTCAGTTGAAGCACATCAGGTCATTTGCGATGCACTTCTGGTCAATGGTGCAGTGTCTCAGTTCCTGTACACAGCTTGTTATGCAATAGTTACTCTCTATGGTTAAATCACTTTGATTCTACTTTAACACAATTTCTATTCCTGCTGTTGCTATTGTCCCTCAGACAAAAGCAAGCGCAGTGATTCAGTTTACTTCTCTAATTTGTGTTTTTATCAGATCTAATTCTAATCAATGTAATTACTTCACACAGTACAAAATCAACAAATCAAAAGTGTCAGGACAGAGGTCAATTATGTCCATGACAATATAGAATTCAAATGAACATTTCTGGTCTCAAAAAATACTGATTCAAATAAAGATTCAAGTGATAGACAAATATGTGTTTACATTGGAGTAAACTTTTAAATGCTTTTTTCTCATGTTCTACTTTTTCATGTATCTATATGTAAATGTGAATGTGTGAGTGTATGTGTGTGTGTGTGTGTGTATGTGAATTATGGGGTTGTGTCTCCAGACTCCTCGAACCACCTGTAGGTGTCAAAGGTCACACTGTGGTGATGCAAACCAACTGGACACACTTTCAACTGCCTCTAGGTCTCTACCTGACGCTCCACCCATCACTGCCTCCAGAAACCTCTCTTTCATGGCCCCGGTCTCACTCCCACTTACTTCTGTAGTGGGGGGAGGGGCGTAGAGGTGGCATTGTTGCCCTTTGCTCTTTGATCTGTGACCTGTGGCTGGGTGGGCTTTGGTGTCCAGTGTCCAGCAGTGACCTCTCGTACAGTGAGGCAGAGTCTGAAAAACAATCCTTGAGACGGCCAATTTAAAAAAACAATAGATATCAGTATGCGAATGAGATTGTTTTTCTCTCTGAAGTCAAAACAATTTTGGAGCGCTCTGGGTTTTCCCAAGCGCTATGTAAATAAAAGATTACTTATTATCTTACTAATGATGACATTTTTAAGACCAGAAACTCTTAATATAAAAAAAACAAGACTCAAATCTCAAAAAACCTTTTTAAACTTTAAACTATGTATTATATACTTTTGTACTGTGTGATTAATTATCCATGAACATTTATCTCATCATTTATTTTACTAATTTAAAATAATTGCAGCATTTTTCAAATGAAGTCAGTATGAATTGGAGCACATTTTAGACCAGGCTCCTGTGCTGCGTGCATCTGCAGCAGGAGGAAGGTCAGGTGCATAGTCAAAACAAAAACGTCACCGCTTGCAATGGGTGAATTGGGTAGTTTAACTTAATAATACTTTTACAGCCTAATTCCCTCTTTCTTTTTAGACGAAGTCTATAATCAATAATCACTTTTAACAGATTCTAATTTAAATGTTTGAAAAACGGCTTTTGTAACTAAAATAAAAACATAAAAAAATTCTCACAAACAGCTATGAAATATATCAGAGATACAATAATGGACTCACAAAATAAGCAGCAGATTTAAAAGAATGGAATCTAGAAATATGTTAGGTCTAAAAAGAATTGCACAGCTTTTAGCCCTAATATTTGGGTTTCAAAAACATACTAATTCAAAACTTATATTTACTAAATGGTGTTTAAAAACGTTTAACTGTGTCTAACACAATGTTCAAATGGCAAATTTCGCAAATTTAACTGAATAACAACTATGAAAAGCCTAAATCCTAAAAGCAGTAGCTTTGCTCTGATTCAGAGCCAGAGCAGCGAAGGAGGGGGCCGTTTCCCTGACAACGGCAGCAGATAGAGATGTGCACACACAGGCAAAAAGATACAGAAGAAGAACTTTCAAGATTACTTTGTTAAGCGAATATAACTTATGTTGTTCTTTATACTTTTGTCATCCAAGTCTAGAAGTGATCACTTTCCACACTAGTAACAAAAGGCACTCTTACTTTAACGTACGCTTCTATTTTATCGAGGTAGCAAACTAG